GCCTTGAATAACCTAGCAAAGTTATCTTGAACTTCTACTAAGTCCTCTAGTTTTTCCTAAAATGCAATACAAGATGTTAGATTCCGTGAAAACAATAGGAAAGAAAAAACTACCTTAAGGCCGTGCGGCGTACGCTGGACGAAGCCGTGCCGGTACGCGAAACGCTGCAGCAGCCGTTGCAGCGACTGATACGCAGTGTATATATCCTTCTTTCCTGCCGCGTAGTCTTCTTGCCACTCTGAGTACTCGTCGCGAATATACGCGGCCATTATGGAGGCCGTGAGAGGCAGCGACTCGCGTCTCTTGTCTTTCATGAATGCTATTAGCTCGACCTTGAATGGGATGATCTCGGGGCGGCCAGACGCCCGGGACAGCGTTTTCTCACTGCCTCTAAACGCGAAGATGTCTTCTTTCTTCTCCAGCCACGATTCTAGCGTCCTGCGAGGGATTTTTTGGACTCTAGCAGCCTCGCGGATACCTAAACCTAGTGTAGCGAGCAGAACATCACGTTTTTGCTTCATTGAGTAGTGCATTCGACGCTGCTTGGGGGCGGAGAAAACCTCATCGAGGAGGCCCTCGATGGCGAGCTCTTCTGGCGGCGGTGGTGGCTCTGACGGGGGGTCGGGGGCTGCCTCCATTTTAGCGACTGACTGGTTCAGGTTTAGCTGCCATGCAATCCGGCGTTTTCAATGATTTGATTGGCTAATAAAAACGATATGCGCGTGCTGCTGCACGCACGCGCCTGTTTACATTTGATTTTGCTGACCGTTGCATTCTGTCCGCCGGTGTACGACAAAGCCATTAGTTTCTTAAGATCGGTTGAAGAGAAAAAAGTAGGCTGTAACCGCACGCAACGCTTATATTACCGGACAGCAGTTATACAAGCGACCTGCTTATATTTTCGGACAGAGGAAGTATTGTATTGTAAACGCGTTTCTCGAGCCGTCTCGCCACCGCAGTAGGTCAACTTCTGCATGCGTCGGGTTATCTCTCGTACTCTACGGTCCTCTCATCTCTCGGCCAGAGTCCGTCAAGCGATGACAGGGGAAGTATCATGTTTAAAACATATTTTGGCATCAGGTTGTCCGTATCTGATAGGTAGGGCCTATCGGTCTGTGGTCGCGAACTCTCGCAGAATTGCTAGTCGCGCAATTACCCTTTGTGTGCGTGTAGAAGTCGAACCTGCTTGAGCTCGCGGGGACTCAACATCTGCCGTGCATGCAGCGGGGGTATTTTGTGAGCTAAAAGAGAAGTGTGACTACTCCGTCTCTTTAAAGGCTCGTTTTTTAAAATAGTAACGTCATCGAATTAAAACAGTATAAACGCAAATTATCAAATCTTCAAGACAAAGTACATGGAGAAGAAAATGGCAAATAGAACAGTTTTGATGAATCCGCATTTTTGCAGTCAGTTTGCCCCAGTTTTACCAATATTGACTGTATCGTACCGCGTGCCTTTAAGTCTGTAAAGCAAAAATTGACACTCAAAGATCAATCCAAGGCTACCTCAATGCATGGTCTTCTTGTACTCGTTCCAGGATCACCGCGCTAGCAGAATGGTTGGAAGAGGCAAGTTGAGATATCAAATACTTTTCTAGAACGCAGCACCTCTCAAACTACGCGATATGACTTTTTTTTGCCGCTTCATTTGGAACTGATTCGGCCCGTGAAACAACCTACGAGAGCATGTTAAAATATACTGTAGTAAAGATTCTATGTATGTACAGAAAAATAATTGGAAAATATCATTTTATACCCGACCAAATGGGCTTATGATGCTTCCTGCAATCTGTTTCGTTCTATTATCACACGGGGTTGGCGCCTTGAATAGAGTTTGGGACTTGTGCTGCAAGTCAAGAAACTGTTGGACTGTCGGTCTTGAAGGAATGTGGCTAATTGGAGACATTTCACCACTACTTTTATGGAGTCCGTTTCCTTTAGTATCAGAACATGTTGTAGTCCATTGGTTCGCTAGTATTGGAGCCTGCAGAGTCAACGATTCTACTAACAAGTACTTATGTTGTACCCAGTACATTCAATTGCGCACGTGATTGAATCTCTGATAACTATTTCAATTGGGTTCGTTACGTAAAAATTCCCAGCTAAGTCGAAGACGTTCGAGTACTATTTACATTGTTCAAGATATCTAGAAGATCTCTGTGGCTCTCTGAGTGATACTTTTGTGTATATAGGGCTAAACATACACATATCAAATGCATTTTATTGCTCCACTATGGCGCCGATCTTCCAAAAAAAAAAGTGTGCATACTTTCATCTGGGGATTGTGAAGTTTTGAATTCGGTGCAGAACTTCGTAATCACGAAACTCCCACAATTAGTAAGGGACGAGGGCCTCGACACGGCAAAAGCATGTATAATATTGAGAATAACATCTCTGAAAGATCTCTGGACTCGATTGTAGACATCACAACAGTTTTTCTTATGCTCGTTGGACAATGCTTACAAATAGATTGCATCATATATATATATATATATGTAATTGGCTGTAATGATACCCTGAACATTGATATTGTCCTTTGGAGTTCGCTTCATATCGAATCGCTCTTTGATAATATCACCTAACCGAGAATTTAAGTTCTATAATATAGAGCTTAAGTTCTCGGTTAGGTTCAGGTACTGTCATTAATTCACCCTCTTTGTATTCGTATTTGTTGCTGATGAGCTGATACGAGTTGTTCGTAGCCATACGAAGCAAGTTTCGGTTTTCAATGAATGACGGTGGACAAAATGATTCAACGCCTTGGTTCTCGTATTAATCGGAAGTAAGTCGATCGGCATCCATGAATGAATGTCCCTGGTAGTCTTTATTGAGCGCATCAAGTTTCAGAGGGACACTTCGATGGAGATGTCTCTAGTATTTGAGAGCTTTGTTTGAGTAGTCAGTGATATGAATGACGGCAATGGTATCATCGATTTGAGGAGGATATCAAACGCTCTGATATTCTCATTCTCGGTCCCGATCTATCAGGTGAAAAGGAAATATGGACGAGGTGGAGGAGAAGAACGTCAAGCTGCGGTGTGGTGTGTATGGTGACGGAAGCGTGTTCTCCGTCGAGGTTGAGCGCAATGGAGACGTGGAAGCGCTACAGGAGGTATCGTGAAGAAGAAGAAAGACGTCAATGATCGCTTTAACGTTGATCCATCTTCGGTGACGCTGTACTTAGCGAAGAAGAACGGCGCGTGGCTCAAGAGCGACCCCTTCAAGCCTTTTTTGAAACACGGAAGAAAAGAAGACAGTGCCTATGTGGTAGAGATGATCCCAAACTGGGATCTGTGAGCAGTTCTATGGCAAGTTGGCTTATCATCCAGCGTGTTCGACTGTCATCTGCATCAACTCGACGTGCAAAACGGCATTTAAGACAGTGTTCGAAGGCGATGTCGGAGAAGTGGATGAAATCATCGACGAAATCATGCGAAAGCGACCGAGCGGGGGATGCTCTTTAGAGGAACTGCAGGCTTTCACCAAAGCCAAGCGATTCAAAGTTAAAGTTGATGATATGGTATGGTGGAATGTTAACACTTACCCTTCCTAGAAATTCCAAAATAGTATGTTTTACATCCGGAAATTTGAAAAGAAATTTGAAAAAAAAAAGTTTGATTTAACAAATATCTTCTAGAGGCAATTGGCGCTATACTATTTAAAAATTGCTACAGTAGCTGACATTCATGGCAAGAGCACACGTTGGCGCTGAGCGCTCAACAGCGTGAAAAAAAAACTCCAGCTGCTGGTGTAGCATTGCTCCATTATTTCCTGGTTTTTGATGGCGAAAATCGTTTGCTTAGGGAATTGTGTAAAGCTATGTCTGGGAATTTACTGACTAGCACTTCACCGAAAGCGTACATTGCCATCGCATGCGCTATAGGACGTAAAATGTTTGCTGGTTGTGTGGGGACAGCCTTCCGAGCACCGCTTGCAATGAAAGTTTCAGCCTGAGCAACATAGCTGTTACTTAGGATCGATATGCCTTCATGCAAAAATCTGCGCCTGTGTTCTTGCATTGTTGTTTGTCAGTCGCACGGCGTTCATCCAGCACTGAGAGCAGGTGGGTGGGTGGGGG